TCTGGTGTAGTTGTCCAACCACTTGCTAATTTAGTTAACTGAACTAGCTTATATTTTTTGGTTTTGTTCTCAAAATCATAAAAGCATTATAAAATTCTTTACAAGTATCTAGTTAAACATTGTATATTTTTCTGATCTGCAAGTCTTCTAAATACATCAGAAAAAAAAAAAAAGGTTAATCTGTGACACATCTTCTTGTTAACTCATGCATCCTAGTCTTAGAGATCACTACATCCTCTTCTAAGTATTCACATATCAAACCTTTGATCGTTTGTTTTAAAGTGTTATCTGAAATTAACATTAACCTTACCAAAATGTTAGTAGAAATTACACTCTTAGTTTTGAAAATAGTCTCCTGTCTTGTGGCACTGGCAATGATTCAGGGATCTCATTCACAGGTTCTTTTAAATATCTTGGAACATAATTGTTTGGCATGGGAGAGATGTGAACTTATAAGGTAGCTAGGTCTCCTTTTTTTTCAATTTACTTTTTTAAAAGACTATTGTTTTTGAGCAGTTTTAGGTTCACAGCAAAATTAAGAGGAAGGTACAGAGGTTTCGCATTTACACCCTTCCCCAACACATGTGTACCTTCCCCCATTATCAACGTCCACCACCACGGTGGTGCATTTGTTACAATTGATGAACTTATATTGACATGTCATTATCACCCAAAGTCCATAATTTACCATAAGGTTCATTTTTGGTGTTCTGTATTCTGTGGGTTAGGACAAATATATAATGATACATATCTACCATTATAATATCATATAGAGTAATTTCACTGTCCTAAAGATCCTGAGTGCTTTGCCTATTCATCCTCCGTCCCCCTTAACTCCTAGCAACCATTGATATTTTTACAGTCTCCATAGTTTTGCCTTTTCCAGGATGTCATATAATTGGAATCTTGCAGTATATAGCCTTTTCTGATTGGCTTCTTTTACTTGGTAAGACATTTTCTCCATGTCTTTTCATAGCTTGACAGCTCATTTCTTTTAGCGCTGAATAATATTTCATGGTCTTGTTGTACCATAGTTTATCCATTCATCTACTGAAGGACGTCTTGGTTGCTTCCAAGTGTTGGCACTTCAGAGTAAAGCTGCAATAAACATCCATGTGCAGGTTTTTGTGTGGACATAAGTTTTCAATTCATTTGGGTAAATACCAAGGAAGGCGATTGCAGGATTGTATGGTAAGAGTATGTTTAGTTTTATAAGAAGCTAACAAAGTGTCTTCCAAAGTGGCTGTACAATTTTGCATTCCCACGGCCATGAATGAAAGTTCCTTTTGCCCTACATTCTGTCCAACATTTGGTGTTCTCAGTATTCTGGGTTTTGACCATTCTAATAGGTGTGTGGTAGTATGTCGTTGTTTTAATATGCAGTTCCCTCATGACACATGATCTTGAATATCTTTTCATCTGCTTACTTACCATCTGTATCTTCTCTGGTGAGATATCTGTTAAGGTCTTTAATCCATTTTTTAATCAGATTGTTACTTTTCTTGTTTAATTTTAAAATTTCTTTGTTTATTTTGAATAACAGTTCTTTATCAGTTGTGGTTTTTTGCAGATATTTTCTCCCAGTGTGTGGCTTGCCTTCTCATTCTCTTGACGTTGTTTTTCCCAAAGTAGAAGCTTTTGTGTGGTTTTTTGTTTTGTTTTGTTTTGTTTTATAGAGACATCCAACTTATCATTCTTTCTTGTGTGGATTGTACCTTTGGTGTCTTATCTAAAAAAAAATCATTGCCATACCCAAGGTCATCTAGAATTTACTCCTGCATTATCGTCTAAGTGTTTTATGGTTTTGCATTTTACATTTAGGTTTGTGATCCATTTTGAGTTAATTTTTGCGAAGGATATAAGTAAGGTCTGTGTCTAGATTGATTTATTACTTTACATTCCAGCACCATTTATTGAAAAGACTATCTTTTCTCCATCGTATTACCTTTCCTGCTTTGTTAAAGATCAGTTGACTGTATTTATGCGGGTCTGTTCCTAGACTCTCTATTCAGTTCCATTGGTCTATTTGTCTGTGTTTCACCAGTGCCGCACCGTCTTGGTTACTACAGCTTTATAATGATGCTTGAATTTGGGTAGTGTCAGTTGTTCAACTTTATTCTTCTTTTTCAATATTGAGTTGGCTATTCTGGGTCTTTTGCCTCCCCATAAAATCTTTAGAATCAGTTTGCAACATCCACAAAATAACTTGCTGGAATTTTGATTGGGATTGCATTGAATCTGAAGTGCAAGTCAGGAAGAACTGACATCTTGATAATGTTGAGTCATATTATCCATGAACATGGAATATCTCTCCATTTATTTAGCTAGTTCTTTGATTTCTTTTATTAGAGTTTTATAGTTTTCCTCATATAGATCTCTTACCTAATTTTGTTAGATTTATATCTAAGTATTTCAATTTTTAGGTGTTAATGTAAATGGTTATATGTTTTAAATTTCAAATGCCACTTGTTCGTTGCTGGTTTATAGAAAATTGATTGACTTTTGTATATTAACCTTGTATCTTGCAAACTTCCTATAATTGCCTATTAGTTCCACTGTCTTGGGTTTTTTTTTTTTTTTAATTGTTCTGGATTTTCTACCTAGACAGTCATGTCATCTGCCAGCAAAGACAGTTTTGTTTCCTTTCCAATCAGTGTGCCTTGTATTTCCCTTTCTCATCTCATTGTTTTAGCTAGGTGTCATTTTTCATTTCCTTCTCTTATTTTCTGTATCATTCACCTTTCCTGTTCGTTCACTTTTCATCCTGAATAACATCTTCTTGTTGAATCAGACAAATGAGAGTTGAGATATGTTTCACAAAACAGCACTTATAATTAAATTAATTGCATGTAAAGGAATTGAGTACTTAAATGTTTATAGACTTTCAGATGAAGTTAATTTTGAACCAGCCTTTTGAAAATTTGAATTGGATGAAAAGAACACGGGAGAGGAGAAAGTTTATAGGCAAAATCTGGCAAATGTAAGAAAATATTTATATAGAGCTGTAGTAATTACATGAGCTTTATTGGAATGAAAGGTCATTATGGAAAGAATGGGAAATAGTGAAAGTGGGGATCATGAGAAGAGAATGAGACTTAAGTGCTGTAGTCATAGCACTTCAAGTTGTGTGGAACTTTAAACTTTACAGAACAATTTTCATGTAACCTTCTGAGATAGGTGGGAGGTATTCTTATTTTATGGATGAAAAAATTAATACTTAGATTAAGAAATGTACCAATTCCATATAATAGTATATGACCCAGTTAGAACTAAAACTCATTATATTTCCAAGGTCCCTGTTCTTTGCTGATACTGTTACATTTCTGTTGCCTCACCATAGTACCCTCTACTCATAACTCTTACAGTTTGTTATATGTTTCTGTGCATTATCTAATTTGATCCTCAAAAACTTTGTGAGATATATATAGTTCCGGTATTATTATGATCTCACTTTACAGATAAGGAAAATGAAGATAAGGTAAAGTTAATGATGTAAAGTAGCTAGGACTACTTTCTTAATCCTGTCACTTATTTGCTATATCTACTTGCTTTCCTGTTGTTCATTTTTCTCTTTTCAGTCTAGATGTTAACTTTTTCCATTAAACTGAGGCTAAAAGAAGTTAAACAAGTTTAAGAGGTCAACACTATAGTAAGTAAAAAGAACAGACCCAGATCTAAACATGTACCTTCTGGTTGCTGTTTTCTTACCAATATTCTGTTCTGGAATAAAGTATCTACTGGAAGACCAACAAGTTTCTTGAGACTTGTCTATACCCTGATTGAGAATTATTCTGTTAGATGTGTGCAAGATTAGTTGGAGAGATCAGAAGTGGAGGCTGGTGATATCAGCTATAATGTGGTCATGTTAACAAAATTTGTTAATGGACATAAAATTCAAATGAAACAAGTGTGAAATGATGATGTTCTTAATGAAGATAAAAGTTTTAATATTTGTATATTTGCACTTAAAAATGCATAGGAATGAAGTGCTATACTCTCCCAGTCCTACCAACATTTATATTATTTAATAATGTTCAGAATTTTTAAGTCTATTTGATAATACTTTTAAAATAGGAACCAAATTTTCTGCTTTTTAAAATTATCCCCATTGCTTGTATTTGAGGTATGAATGAGACAGGAAAGAGTTCATATTGTGTAGATGTCTTATATTCCTTTCATCTATTCTAAGCAACTGCTATGAGCCATTCTGAAGTATCCATGTGTTGATTTCTTATGGCTGCTATAACAAATTACCACAAACTCAGTTGCTTAAAATAACAGAACTTTATTCTGTCACAGTTACGGAGGCCAAAAGTCTGAAATTATTATCACTGGGCTGAAATTAAGGTGTTGGCAGGGCTCTGTGCCCTCTGGAGGTTCTAGGGAAGACTGTGTTCCTTGCCTCTTCCAGCTTCTAGTGGCTGCCAGTGTTAATTGGTTTGTGGCTGCATCAGTCCAATCTCTTTCTCTGTGGTCAGATTACCTTCTCTTCTTCTGTCTGTGTCAAATCTCCTTCTGCCTTCTTATAAGGTACATGTGATTGCACTTAGGGCCCAACTAGATAACCCAGGATAATCTCCCCATTTCAAAATCCTTAATCATATCTGCACAGTCTTTTTTTTTTGCCATAAAAGTACCATTCAAAGTTTCCAGGGATTAGGATGCAGATGTCTTTTGGGGGAACAATTATTCAACCTACCCCAGTCCTTATTGCCTCTCACTTTTTCTTCTTCTTTTCTTTCTAGTCTCTTTTCTTCTTTTCTATTTTTAATCTTGTTCATCTTCCAGAAGCACGGAGTGTGCTTAATATCTATAATAAAGGAGTTGAATGATTGTTAACTTCCCTTCTAACTCTAAAAGCCTCTGTCTAGTATTTAGTATTTAAACAACAACAAACATGCAGATAAACAACAAATCTCAGTTATTTTGTGCTACCTGTAAAAGTAATCATTTGCAAGATTATTTTGAAGTAACTATTCATGCTTTTTGTTTTTCTGTAGATGGACCACACATCCCCGACCTACATGCTTGCTAACTTAACCCACTTACATTCTGAACAACTTCTACAGGGCTTGAATCTTCTTCGTCAACATCACGAACTCTGTGACATCATTCTTCGAGTAGGTGATGTTAAAATCCATGCTCACAAAGTGGTACTTGCCAGCATCAGCCCATATTTCAAAGCTATGTTTACTGGAAACCTTTCTGAAAAAGAGAACAGTGAGGTTGAGTTTCAGTGCATTGATGAAACTGCTCTCCAGGCCATTGTGGAGTATGCCTATACAGGGACTGTTTTTATTTCACAGGACACAGTTGAATCTCTCCTTCCAGCAGCAAACCTACTCCAGATAAAACTTGTCCTGAAAGAATGTTGTGCATTTCTTGAAAGCCAGCTTGATCCTGGTAATTGTATTGGAATTTCTCGCTTTGCAGAGACATATGGTTGTCATGACCTTTATTTGGCAGCCACTAAATACATATGCCAGAATTTTGAAGCAGTTTGCCAGACTGAAGAGTTTTTTGAGCTTACGCATGCTGATTTGGATGAAATTGTTTCCAATGACTGTTTGAATGTAGCTACTGAAGAGACTGTTTTTTATGCACTTGAGTCTTGGATCAAGTATGACGTCCAAGAACGCCAGAAATACTTAGCACAGCTACTTAACAGTGTACGATTACCATTGCTAAGTGTTAAGTTTCTCACTAGATTATATGAAGCAAATCATCTTATTCGTGATGATCGCACTTGTAAACATCTTTTGAATGAAGCTCTGAAGTACCACTTTATGCCTGAACACAGACTGTCTCATCAGACAGTCTTGATGACACGACCTCGCTGTGCTCCCAAAGTACTTTGTGCAGTAGGAGGAAAATCTGGACTGTTTGCCTGTTTGGATAGGTAAATAGAAGGCTTTTAAAGGATTGATGCTAATAGATTTTATACTCTTAAAATTTGCTAATTTATTATATTTTTAAAATAGTTTGATTTTCCTGTTTATTTGCTTCTTTTTGTTGTTTTCTTTTTAAATCACTTACCTGATTATTTTAATCACATTGTCGTCCATTCTCTACAACACTCTCAATTTTAAACACCTCTCCTCCCTCCCAGTGCACAAATTTTATCCATCCTGGTTATTCATGAACTTTTCTTCCATTTTATGCCCTTTTTTCCTTTGTGAAATCATTTACATCTTTCTTTATATGAGTCAGTCCAGGTCAGAGGGGATTTATTATTGCTAGCTATATCAAAAAATGCTAAAGAGGAGAGCTAGGAATTTGTGATGAGAGCAGACTGGGACAAGAATATGTTTGAATGAATACAGTTAATCAGAGTAACCACCAAAAAAATAAAAAACAGGATATTGATATAAATCATGGACTTTACATGCAATTTATTTTCTTCAGCGTAAATTTTTTTTTAACAACAGTAGTAAAAAGTGCTTTCTTTTCTGATAACTTAGAGTAGGAGTTGTCAGACTTTTTCTATGAAGAGCCAAATAGTAAATATTTTAAATTTTGTCGCCGTCATATGGTCTCTGTTGTAACTACCCAAGTCTGCCATTGTAGTGCAAGAGCAGCCATAGATAATACATAAACAGATGAGCATGGCTGTGTTCCAATAAAACTGTACTTACAAAAGTAGCTAGTGGGCTGAATTTGGCCCATGGCCATCATTGATTTAGAGCATTCTACAAGTAACTTTTTTTGTTTGTTTGTTTATTTGTTTAATTTTTATTTTATATTGGAGTATAGTTGATTAACAATGTTGTGTTATACAAATAACTTTTATACATTGAAAATATAGCTGGATGTTACCTTCCTTTTCCCTTAAATGGGATTGCTTTATGAAAACTTTTATGTTTAATTTATTTCTTTAATATTTAATATTCTAAATATTAGAATAAATATTAGACTATTTAACATTCTAAAATATTTTGAAACATTTGGTAGATTGCATTTCTTTCCTCCAATAGGAGGAAACTGTTGATGTTTTATCAATGTCAATTGATATGTCCTTTATCTTTTAAAAAGTCTCAGTGTACATTTTAATTGTGGTCTAAAACTAGTATTGTTGAGATTGGGCTAACAATAGCTTTAAAGTTCCCTTGTGCCCCTCCTTGATGCCATCTCCTTCTCTCCCCCAGAAGTAACCAGTATTCTGAATTTTTAATGTATTATTCCCTTGCTTTTTGTTATAATTTTGCCACATATTATATGTGCCCCAGTAAATAGTTAGGTTTTACACATTTTTATGTAAATGCAGTAGTACCATGTATACTCTTCAGAGATGTGTTTTGTCATTGAGCAGTAAGTTTATGAAATTGAGATTGCATGAGGAAATAATTCATTTAGTTTCATTGGCGTATGGTATTATAGTAGATGGACATAATACAACATTTTCTTTCTACTATGAATATGATGACTGAAAATTAATTGAAATGTTTCACATATACAGAAAAGTCCACAAATTCCAAGTGTACAGCTCAATGAATTATCACAAAGCAAACATTACAAACCATTTCAAGAAAAGAACATGAACAACACCCAGAAACTACCCTTAAGGTCCCTCCCTGTCCTCCCCAAAGGTAACCACCACCCTCATTTCTAATCTAGAGATTAGAAGTGTTTTTGAACTTGATAGAAATGAAACTATACTGAATATATTCTTTTGAATTTGGCTTGTTTCCCTCAACATTATATGTGTAAGATTCATCGCTGTTACATGTAGTTGTAGTTTGTTCATTTTCATTGCTGTATAGTATTTTCTTATATGATATGCACAATTTACTTATCCATTTTATGGTTGATGAAAAATTTGGATTGTTTCCGGTTTTCAACTATTACAAATAATGCTACTGTGAACACTGTTGTACATATACATATGTGTGCATTTCTGTTCGGTGCATATCTAAGAATGGAATTGCTTTGTCATGGGGTGGGTATACCACATCTTATTTATCCATTCTCCTTTTGATAGATGACTGTGTTGAGCTGCTGTAAACCTTTCTCTATTTGTGTTCTTTTGCAAAACTGGCTGTAATAGGCATTCAGTAGAGTAGATACACAGGAATGAAATTGCTGTATCAGAGCATACGTGTATCTTCAGTTTTGCCAGATATTGTTTATGGGCCATTTTGATGTTTGAAATTTAATTTTTTCTGCTTATTCTTTAGTGTGGAGATGTACTTCCCTCAGAATGACTCTTGGATTGGTTTGGCACCCCTAAACATTCCTCGCTATGAATTTGGAATATGCGTTTTAGACCAAAAAGTGTATGTTATAGGTGGTATTGAAACTAACGTGCGTCCTGGCATCACTATCAGAAAACATGAAAATTCAGTCGAATGCTGGAATCCTGATACAAATACCTGGACTTCTCTTGAGAGAATGAATGAGAGCCGAAGTACCCTTGGAGTAGTGGTACTTGCAGGAGAACTTTATGCTTTAGGTGGTTATGATGGACAGTCTTATTTACAATCTGTAGAGAAGTATATTCCCAAAGTAAGAAAGTGGCAACCTGTGGCACCAATGACTACAACAAGAAGTTGTTTTGCCGCAGCTGTGTTGGATGGAATGATATATGCCATTGGTGGGTATGGTCCTGCCCACATGAACAGGTATTTAACTTAATCAAGTTGTATATGCTTGTAGATTTTTTAAAGTATCATTAACAATGATTTCTGGATTTTAAACAATTTGTGTATATGAATGAACTTCCCTTTTTAATTTTTAAAGTAATATTGATAGACATTTGGGAAACTTAACCTGCTCCACAAGTTTAATTGTAATTGGTTTACATGGAGATTTAATACAAACCTAAAACTCAAATCCCTTTTATTAAATTTTACATTCATTCATTCAATATAAATGGACTAGATTTTAGAATTCAGAAATCTGAAAATAAGATGAAGTTAGATAACTTTAGATTTGGGGTGGTGTGTGTATGTATAAATGTGTGTGTCTGTATGTGTGTGTATGGATGGATGATCTGTTACTACGTTGTTTAATAGAATAAAAAAGTGGAAAATGTAATTTCTATATGCTTACACAATATTATAACACATCATAAACTTTAAGCCTTATTTAAATATTCCATTCTGGATTCTTATTCTGTAATCATATGTGTATCATTATGTATCTGAGCTGTGCTGAAATTTAAATGTGAGATTTCTGTATTTTATAGTATTCTCTGAATAAAGGAGAAATATATATATAAGAAAAACAAAAGCATAAAGTGCTTATATGGAAAATTAATCATAATTCTGAACCTTTGTTGAAAGTCGATCTTCCAAAGATTTTATCTCTAATAGTATTATATCTCTAATAGTGGTATGTGTTTTATTTATTGTGAGCATTTTAATAAAAGAGAGTATGTGGTGGTTTGTTAACAGGCTGAGAAAGTAATGACACAACAGCATTTCATCTATAAATTTGTATTTCTGTGTAGGCTAAATTTTTCCCCCTTTTTATTGTTCCTTTAGTTGAAGGAAAAGTATTTGGGACCCAGACATGCATTTCTATTTTTTGAAAAGCTGCTAACAGAAATTTCTAAGATAAAAGGTTAAGTACTTTAATTTTGAGATAATGCTTTTGAAGTTTGAGTTCTTGTTACAGTTTTTCACAGGATTTTTCTTGTCTAGTGATTTTGCTCTAACGGTTTTTATCCTGGTATCCTTTCAGAAATAGTTGTAGTTTAGTCTCTAGTCTAGTCTAGTCTAGTCCCTATTCTGAACTTACTCTCAAATGCTTTAGGCTTTCTTGAGAAGTTAGGTTAGGACCAGAACAAGCTCAACCAACTTGCCTTTGCACCCCTTCAGGGAAAGTGTAGGCTTAAAGGCCTTCTGGGATTTTCCAGGAAAGCTTATTTGGAAATTCTGATTTGATTTGAATTTCCATAATGCAACTTGGAAATGCCAGGAATTCTCTGGCATACAGACTTTATTTAAATCTGTGAATTCTCATAAATTACTCTGATTATTATAATCATTACAATAATCATTATGATTAGCCAGTTTGTGTTATGAAGTATGTAGTGTTTGCTTTACAGTTAGTCACCATGAATTCACCTATAAGAAAAAAATTCCTCTTCTTTCCTTCTCTTCATCTTCCCTTTTCCTTAGCTGTGTGGAAAATCCTTAGTATCTTTAGGAACCATCTATCTTCAGTTTGTGATTTTCAGCGTCCTTTCACATGCATACTCATTGGACTTTATTCTTACATGAATCCTTGAGGTTATATTATTCCCATGTTTACAGGAAATGACTTATCCAGGAGAAACAAATCCAAAGTGATAGGTCTAGGTATGTGATATTAGTACTTGAACCCAGATTTTCTGACTTCAAATGCTCCATGCTTTTAATGCACCTTGCTGCTTGTACAATATAATAGAGTAGGGTATGGCTCTTATTGCACCAGTCTACAAGGTAAGCTTTTATCCCTGTGATTTTATCAGCAAAATCTGAACATTTGGGACAAACTACTCTTGTTTTATATCTGTCCATTTGCACTTTTAAAACTCTGGTGGGTTTTAGTTGCTTTAGTAGGAAGAGTGACACAAAGGATATGTGAATTAATTCTTTCTTTTGTGAATATTTGCAGTGTGGAGCGTTATGATCCAAGTAAGGACTCCTGGGAGATGGTTGCATCTATGGCAGATAAAAGGATTCACTTTGGTGTGGGTGTCATGCTAGGCTTTATTTTTGTGGTGGGTGGACATAATGGTGTTTCACATTTGTCAAGCATTGAAAGATATGACCCTCATCAAAATCAGTGGACTGTGTGTAGACCAATGAAAGAACCCAGAACAGGTAATAATAACATACCAATTTCTAAACATATAGGACAATATTTTTTATAGTGATGTTCTTGAAATAGTAGTTTCTTGGGATATAACAGTAAGAGTATTATTACTTGTCCAGAAAAAACTTTTTTTGTGATAAACTTGACTGACAACTTGATTAGACAAAACTATATAGATTTTTTTACTGTGATTTTAATATGCCAATGTGCATATTGTTATTTTTTGAACTTCTACAACACATCTTGAGAAATGCTCATAATAGAAAGTATCTTATAGAAGCTCTTTGTGTCCATGTAACAAATGTAATTGTTTTATATGTTACACACACACGTGCACACACACCCAGGATCCTAGGGTTGTTCTATTTTGTTTTTTATTGTACATCAGCAGTCTGTATGTTACTTTCAGATGTTCTCTCCTCCTAAAGGGGTATAGTTATAGTTGATCTAGAAAGAGTTGGGTTTCAGGTTTCATAAAGAAAAACAAATACACCTTTGAGGAAATTATCCTTAAACCCAAACTCAAATCACATTATTTTAAAAGGAATGTTTTAAGTTACTGGTGGAAATGCTTTAGGAGTATTCCTTGCATTTATGATTAAAGAAACTCCTGAAAAATAAACATACGAAGGAAATTGAAAGGCTTGTTTACTAGAATTAGTTTCTGTGGTACCATTGAGAAGGAAAACCATAAAACAATGAAAATGTAAAATATTTGGGTAGCCTTGTTCTTTTTAGAACTATATATATATAAAGTAAAATTTTTTAAGCATAAATTATATAGTTTATATATATTTAAAATTTTAACACATTTGAAAACAAAAATTAATGATTTTTGAAAAATATAAATATAAATTGAGAAGAAAGCATATGGGAAGATATATACTACATTCTTAATAATATTTAACTGTGGTGGAGAGGGGGAGAGTAGGATTGAGGAGAGATGAAGGAAAACTTCAGCTCTTTTACATATACTAAGGGATTTTTTTCCAGTAAACACATATTGCTATATTGTTTGTATAATTAATAATAGGTTGTTGAAATGTATTTTAAGAAAACATTTAAATGCAAATTTAATTTAGTGCGAAGTCTGCTTCATGGTTAACATATTTTTTTCCCCTATTTTTACCCACCTTTCCTAGGAGTTGGTGCTGCAGTAATTGATAACTACCTTTATGTAGTGGGTGGTCACTCAGGGTCTTCCTATCTGAATACCGTGCAGAAATATGACCCTATCTCAGATACATGGCTGGATTCAGCTGGCATGATATACTGTCGCTGCAATTTTGGATTAACTGCACTTTGACAAGTGTGGACTTGTGGAAATAGCATAGTGATGAACCTTGTGCTGCATGAAAGGATGCCCAGTTTTCTGAAGCCCAAAAGCTACATTGCTTCCTTTTTAACTTGAAATGGCATGGAGACTCAAAGTTTTGTTGGGTACTTTGAACTGACAAGTAGCTTTGGTTGCTCTTGATTATACAGTGAATCGATAATCCAAGAAAAAAAAAAAAAAGGAAAGATCTTGCCAATTGAATCGTGCACTTTTTTTCCCTAATACTGGGATAGAATAGTTTTATGTTCATAAGTGTACATGTGGAGAAAACCTTGCTGCTTTTTTAAAAAAAATTAGCTTTCTTCCCCCTCCTTGTTCTGCACCGTTTTTTACCAGGATGAGAGATACTTAGATGCTGGAGTATACTGAATGACTAGACAGAGTGCTGATACTATCTGTTGGATATAAATTCATATGCTTCACATTTTAAACAAACAAAGGGCTGCTTTTTTTTTTCCTGGTACTTTTAAGGGTTGTAAATTACATGCCATACTGAGTCACCTGGATATTCTTACTGCTAAATGGCTTTAGGGCTGGGGATGTAATAAGTTTGCAAGATAAATGCATTTACTGTCATGATTTCGGGTCCTGTTTTAAGCAATCAGATACTTACTGTGTATGCCTTTTTTATATGGGCAGGTTAATGCTGGATGAATTTAGTTACCCATCTATGGTATGCTAAGCATGGATAGAAAGAGTTAAGCATATCAGTTTCAATTTTTTTTTAGTAGTCCAACAGGCTTCCCAGTGTTGATGTAAATATTTGACAAATGTTTAGTACCACCCTTAATGCACATTGAGTTTTTTCATACATGCTTACAATAATTTTAGTTTTTTTAAGAATTTTGTTTGCTTTTTCAAAGTATTCAGATATAAAAATGGTGCTAACTGTAGGATCTGTAACAAGGCTATACCAATGTTCTTTTGGATGTTAAATATGAGATATGCATGACATGTTTTGATAGTATTTTTCATTTTTACCAGCTTGGTTCATTTGTGCTTATTAAAAATGTTAGTGTTTATACTAATATTTACATCCAAAAAACATTCAGATGGCCTGTTATGCTTTTCATGGTTCCTGAATAGTGATTTAAAGAAAGATACATTTTATCTTCTTTCTTCTTGTGCTAGATGTTATATGCCCTTCTTAAAAACAGAAATATATGCATTAAATATAAAGCACTAGGCAGTTAAGCATTATTTTGTACATTTCTTAGGTAACTGAATATTTTAAAGTTATTGAGGAAAACTGGAACTTGATGTTTACTTGAGTAATGGTTCTAAATTCAGTTCCGCTTTGACTAAAGAAACGATCTTTTAAAGCAAAATTGTTTGCTTTACCCAAGTGACAGCTTATTTAAAAGAACTGGTTAATTCATTTTGTTTTGCATGTTTTAGTAAACGTCTCAATCTTGAATACATTACTTTGCATTTTATTAGGATGTTGGTACTTGTATTTTTGGTACTGTAGTCATTTTGTTTTCCTTCCCTTGATTTTTTCTTTCTCTTTTCTTTTTTTTTTTAACTTCCCACTATCTCTTTATAGTCTCTACAAAACTATATTTGTTTCCTAAGAAAAAGTTCATATTGCATTCTTAAGTGCCATAATGTTCAGAACTATTGTTAAGAAGCCATTTGTAATTATAAAACATAGGTTCATTTCTTAGCATATATGTTATTTCTTGAAAACTATTTATAGCCAGGCAATTTTCAGTTTTCCTTGTTCTTCCGTAAACTGCCAGTTGTAGACTTAAGTATATACTGCAAAACTGTGTGAACTCATCTTTAATCATATAAGTAGTTTCATGCTTTATGAATATTTGCACAGATTATAAAACATTGCAAGTGATTTTTAGTCTCTTTCTAATTAAGAACTCAACAGGAGCTACTAATAATATTGACAGGCTGAATATTTTCTATGTTGCTTGTTTGAATAACTTAATGATATATAGCAATAACTTTATAACTGATTTGAATAAATCTGTTGAATAGAAACAAGGTGCACTATTGTGATTGGCCTAGGCTTTATTTAAAGAAAGCAATTTAAAATAGATTCCATCACATACTTAATTTTAAATCCCCATCTCAGTTTTCTTTCTGTTTATATCAATCAGAAAGAATTGTTATTCTTGATAACATTAACAATGTTAATTATTAAATACATCCTATTACACTGTTTTTAAGCCCCTCTCCCCAGAAGATAAGGGAATTTGAAAGACTGTAGAAATTTATTTTAATTGTAAACAGATCTATACTATACATTTTATTTTCACAATGTTTTCCTCACATATCATCCCCACTATCAAATTAGTATAAAATATATAATCGTTTGGTAAATTAGACCAAAGACCTAAGTTGATCATTGTTTTGGAAGAATCTAAATTTCATCTCAGTGAAGACTAAATATGAAACATTTTGGGCAGTAGTAAGAGCAATATACTAGAGAACAAATTATGAAACCCTGTGAAAGGAAGAGAAAAAAACCCCGAAATTTAGAAATATTTATTTTAGGTTTGCTAAACCTACTTGATTGTGCATAAGAACCAGAGGTATTATGACCTGACAGCTGGTAACTTTACAATAGAGCCTTCTCGTTCAGCTTGTGAGAAGTTTCATCATGAATACTTTGCTGACAAATTGTGAATTTAAAGCCACATTTCTAGTGTTAACAAGGTTCGAAATGTTTGATTATAAATTCCCAGGGTTAAAGATTTTAGAAATAATTTTATATACTCAGGCAAGGAGGAGAAAGCTATTTAAGATTGCCCAGAACTATTTTGGAAAAAAGTAACAGTGGGAAATAGAAATTAATTTAATCATTTAGAGGATAATTGCCTTCTATAATTATGTTATGAAGACTTAATCTGTTAGAAATGTTTGGCTATTTAATATTTGTTAAATATAGTAATAGAACTCAAGTGATTTTTAATGTAACCCAAAGGATAGTTATATAAGTTCCATATATTATTGCTAATACTGTTTTAAACATGAATGAATATTACATTTTAGGACGTGGTATCAAAGTAATAGGAGAATGGCATTAGGTTTTTGTTTTTGTTTTTTGCGGTACGCGGGCCTCTCACTGCTGTGGCCTCTCCCGTTGCGGAGCACAGGCTCCGGACGCGCAGGCCCAGCGGCCACGGCCAACGGGCCCAGCCGCTCCGCGGCACACGGGATCCTTCCAAACCGGGGCACGAACCCGCGTCCCCCGCATCGGCAGGCGGACTCCCAACCACTGTGCCACCAGGGAAGCCCTGGCATTAGGTTTTGAAAAATTATTTTGATAACTTGACAAATATGGAGGGTCTACTATATGAGATACTCTGCTAGATGCTATGGGGGCTAGAAATATAAATAAGATATAGTCTTTTCACCCAAAGAGTAAAATATAGTAAGGGAGACCTGTACCCAAATAACTATTATGGTAAAGTGTGAATCTAATTCCTTATTTCCGACATCATGAAAAGTGATTGGAGATCCAATTTATGTATAAACATTTGTGTCCTCTAGTGTCCAATTAGGTTTTATTGACATGAAAGAGAATTATTTAAAAGCTAATATTTATAGAACTCCAACTTTCCTAAAATTGGATAATATATTTTCTAGTAGAAAAACAGAATTATAGAAACTTAAAATAATATTATGTTATCAAGGCTCTGGCTAACATTGAAGGAAATATATGTATATATAATGCTGTTTGTTTTCAGTTTTGGTGTTTGATTTCTGGTATTGTCACCGAAGTGCTCATTTTCAGGAAAATCAGATTCTACAATAAATACACTGCTTAAAGTTCAATAAACTTGTGATAACCTCTATAACCTCTGTAGTTTGAAAGTTAATAACTTATAAAGATGTCACACGTCAAGTTAACATCCAGTTCTACTTCTTAACCTTTTTTTTTTCCTTTGTAAGACAGCACTTTAGTTAGACATGATTTAATTAGATACAATTATTCTGTGGCTGGATGTTTATTAGATTTTCACTTACAGTATATTGACTCAGTATTGATTCACATTTGAAGAGTGAGGAATACAGTAAGTTTTAAATATTACAGGTTTACAGGCTTTCTTACTGGTGTGAATATGGAGTCAAAAATCCAGTTTACATCTCTGCAGAGAGAAAAATTGTTATCCATATCGTTTTATTTTATACATATTTAACTAGAGATAATTTATTGTTAATTTTGTCAAGTTATCATGTGTTAAGTCCCATTTATTTTAAAATCCTAAGCAAAAAGTTCCAAGTTTGCCTTAAAAACGAGTGAAATTAAAGAACTGGATGATAATGCCTATATTTTTGCCTTATGAATTGTGCTGTATCATAAACCAGAGATGGTTTTGATTTTAACAGGATTTTGAAATTTTGTAGATGTAGAGTACTAATATCTGTACTCTCTTGCAAAGAATGTGATCTAGTTGTGGATTATGTTAATGTTTAAATGTTTTTGTATATGTATTTTACCTCTGAATATGTATCTTTTTAGCATCAGGGTTTTATTTTTGTTTACATAGTAAAGTGGCATTTAACTTGTTGAAGGTTGTATTCTTTTGTCTTTTATTTTTAAAGTTCTTTGTGTGTACTATTGTGGTAATGCTCTGTACTGAGTATGGTTAAATTTCATTTAATGTGAAATATTAAAAATAAATTTGAAAAACAAGGCTTTGTGTGTGTCCATTGTTGTGAATTGACCCAAGCTAACTTTGTCATGCTTAGCTCTTAGGTTCTTTTAGGTAGATAGTGGCCACAGAAGTTGAGTTGGATTTGGGATAGCCACTCCTTTACATCCTGATTACCAGGTTATAATGAAAACATGTCTTAGGCTAAATACTGCTGCACATTTAGACACTTATTAAAGAAACATTCATTAACAAAGCAGGCACAAAAGAGTTCAGTTGATAAGTTCATTGCAGTCCCAGCTTTTTATCTTTTTAGATTCTTGAACCAGCCTTATAAGAGGGGTTTACTTGAGGCAGACATGGCAACATTCTAGAGGTTTCTGTTATTTTTATGGCCAGCATCAGATAACCAATAGACCTCCTAAAGGAAGAGCTGTAAACCTAGGTACTATCTTTAAGGAAGTTGTGAACTACAGGCCTGAAAGGATTCTGATAACCTGTCCATACAAGGGTTGGAAATGTATTTGTAGACAGTCTACATATCTTGAAACTTTAATTTCACCA